CGTATTTTGTATGTAATTAATTAATTATGTATTTCATATTTCGAATTTATCGCATGAGGATTAGAGTTGATTGATGATTAATTGTATAAAAAATTATAATTGAGATAAATTTATGTTTTTTTTTTAAGAATTATGTATATGCATGAATGTACATGATAGGTAAGATACGTTTTTTAGCGATTTATAAATTATGCCAGAGAGGAGAAAAATTGGAAATGAATTAGAAAATTTGGAATTTGGAAATTTAATATGAAAATATATAAGAAAGCTAAAAATTACAAAAAAATTAAAAAATACTGGGGTAAAAAATAAAGTAATTATATTAGTAAATAATTTAATCCTTAATAAATTTATGTATTAATTTAATTATATTCAGAGGAATAGTTACCACTGGCTATTTTTAAAATCAAATTTGTTTAACTCGTAACATACTCCCATATCGCAAATGCGAGGGAGATATGAAAACATCCTACGGCAGATTTGCTTAATAATGGCATTATTTAAAAATGACTTGTTTAGTTCCTCCATGGAAGTTTATGGAATGGTACTACAGTACCCTTGAATCTCTGCTGCTAATTTTAGTTACTGTAATACATATGGCAACGGTTTCTGCCTAAAAACACCTACAGCTCGAATCTGATAACGTTAGCTATAATCTTTTTAAGTAGAATTCTCACATATGTTCGATTTTTAGGAATTTTTACCACCTTTTCACATAATTTTGTTTTAATATGACATGTCCTAGGTAAGAAGGAGAAAATCGTAGGAGTTCAAAATTTTCGATATAGATTGTAGTGCTGATGTATTTATAAAGATTCCATCTTGTTATAACTTGAGATCGTTGTGAAAATATGACGACCTCGTTTATGACGTAAACTAATTATTAAATTGTATATATTTTAAAGAAATTTTAAAAAATCCTCTTTAAAAGCCCATCAGAGACTTTATTTATCAATTCCATTCAACGTTTGAAAGAAAATTCACATTTTTCAATCCACATCGAAAATTCTAAACTGTCTGTCGTCAAAATACCCTTAAAAATATGTTATTTAAAAAAATCTTAGAAAATGTGAAACTGAGAGGTCTATTTGTTCTTCAGAATAATCCCTTGATAAGTCAAAATGTCAATTTTAACCATTTGTCAGCAAATCCTTCGGGAAAAATAATAAAAAAATCTACATAATATGTATGAACGAACTTAAAAAAATGTTTAATGATGTTCCTCAAAAACATTTTTAAAAAATCGCAAAAAGGGAAAATTAATTGGAAACCCCCACGTAAAAAGTCCCTCAGAAAAATTCGTAACAAAATATTAAGAAATGTTTTATAGACCACTGTAAAATTTTTTAAATGACATCAGAATAACTTGGATTTTTTTTCTTTTGAAATTCCCATTTAAAAATCAATTAGAAAAAATCTTCTTTAAAAGTCCATTAGATAATTTATTAAAAAAAAACCATTAAAAGTTTGAAAAAATGTCTGAAAAATTCGTATTTCTTTAAACCAGATCAAAAAGACTAAAGGGTCTAAAAATTGTCAAAAATCTCTAAAAATATTTTCTTAAAAAATGTCTGAAAATATGACATTAAGAGGCCTTTTCAGAATAATCATTTAAAACAAATGCTTCGGGAAAAATAAAAAAAATCTACATTGATATGTGTGAAAAAAAAATAAAATAAAATAAAAACAATTCCCTTTGAAATTGGGTGTATTTTTTTGAGTATATTGAAAAGTTTAAAAGGACTTCTAAAAATTTAATTTAAAACTAATCTACGTAAAAAGTCTAAAGGAACTTTAAAATATTGTGTAAAAATCCTTAACAATTAAGAAAACACGTTGAAAAGTGTTAAATAACTGTGGAATAATTCTTATAGAAAATAAGGTGGGATGCTCTCCCAGTCCTTTAAAAATTGACATTGAAGGTCTCTTAGTCCTTTATAAAAATCCTTCATAATTCTAAATTGACATTTCGGAAACTTCTTTAAAAATCCAATTTTAAAGACAAATCAGACTATAAGAAATATTTCTTTAAGAAATTCAGGCGAAGGGCTTACAGTCGCACAAAAAAAAAACATCCTTAAAAAGTCAAAATTGATAAGTCGGAAAGGCCTTTTGGAATTTTTTCAAAAGATCCATGTTGAGAGACTTGTTAGTCCTGAGAAGGCGCTTTAAAGAGAGCTCTGTCAGCCCATTAGAAATAATCTTTAAAATGCCCCAGTCCCTTAGTTAAAATCTTCTAGTCCTAGTAAAATAAATTAAAAACATTTACGTTGAGGAAAAAATTTTAAAGAAATTTACATTGAAAAAATATTGAAAAATTGTTAAAAAATATATTTTTTTAATTAACGTTGAAAGAGCTGAAATGCTTTTAAAAAATGTATGAATATTCTACTTGAAAAGTGTTCCTTAGAAAATATTTTAGAAAACATTCCTTGAAATAGCTGTAATTACGTTAGAAAATATCTTTGAAAATATAGCTTTAACAAACTCTTGGTGCCGTTGATACAATCTTAAAAATCATTTTTTTTTCCTTTAGAAAGCAAATATTTAAAAATTCTCATTAAGAAGTTTGGTATTTAGAAATATTATTTAAAAATCTAGGCTGAGAGGTCGGGAAGTCCTTAAAAAACCGTTAAAAAATGCAAGCTTAGAGGTCTGTTAGTTCCTTTTAAAAGGTTCTTAAAAAATCACACTTGAGAGTTTTTTAGTCTTTCAGAAAATCCTCTGTTTGTCGTTTGGGAAAAATAATTAAAAGAATCCATAATAAAGAGAGTGGAGGGCCTTTAGAAAATGCAAATTTAGAATACGGTAAGGCCTTTATTATTTTTTTTTTAATTCACGTCGATGTCTGGTGATCCTTTTATGAGAAGTCTGTTAATATCCTAGAAAAAACTATTAACAAAGATCACGTTGAGGGTCCTCTATTATACATCCACTATGAAATCTGTAAATCCCTCAGAAATATTTAAAAAAAAAAAAAAAAAAAAAAAAAAACACACACACTTACTGTACCTCCTGATTTTCATAATATTGGGGCCTTTTGTCCAATGATCGGGTTCTTTGTAGGTTGATTTACCCCACGCCATACATATTAAATGTAGATCTAATTTTTGTATGCACACATGTGCTCATTTTCACTCGGGAGCGAAATTTGCTCGCGAGCAGTGTTACTCGAAGAGTGGGAGTTTTTTTACGGAGTCTACTCTTCACGCATTTGGTGTGTGTGGGAGCACTCATGTTTGAAAAAATAGAGTGGGAGAAGAATCAAAATAGAGCAAAAGTTTAGTATAAACAGTATAAATGAGTGGAAAAAAATATCTATCTATTGAACGAATTTTGTTCAATGGCATCAATGTTTTGCAAACCATCAGCTCTTACTTAGGCCCCTCGGAAATGAAATGTCTATACTGAAACTATTCCAAAATTTATTAAATCCTATCAAATTTGGGTGAAGATGTAAATGTTCTCCAATTACGTGTTTTGGTGTAAGCTACTGCAAGGAAAATAGGCAGGAATTTAAAAATCTTTTAATGAAAAAATGGTACTAAATTTGTTTTAAATATTCAAAATTATGTGGATGGGGTTCCCCAAGCTACAATCTGTTCAATCCAATTATTTAGGAACTTTGTTTACAAATCAGTCTTATTCCTTTTGTTTTTATAAAAAATCTTAAAAAAAAGCTTCTGCTTTGTTGCTAACCAATTAAAGTAGAGACAATTTTTCTATACAAATTGTAGCCGGATTTCCTCAATTGGAACCACCACCACTACAAAACCCTTACTAAAGGATACCCAAAAGTATAGAAGAAAATAACTAAAAAATTCTACTATTTTTGCCAATTCAAATAAAAAAAGTGAAATAAAAAGTCTCTGGTTTCAAATGATTTTTTTTGTTTCAATATTTTTGTGTATTTTTTTTATTATTTCATACAAATTATTTGTTGGTTTTTTATTTTTGTTGTTGTTTGTGGTTCTTTTCATTGTTTTTTGTATAAATCTTAAATGTTTAACGTACAAATATGTTTGTTTGTTGTTTTTATTGTTTGTAATTTAAATGGTATTTATTTTGTTGTTTGTTTTGCTTTTTTATATATTATTATTGTTGTTGTTCTTCTTCTTCTGGTATTGTATATAATATTGTATAATAATATAAATATATATATTTATATGCTTGGGTTTGTTTTTTATAATTATGTTTTGTTGTTGTTGTTTTTGTTGCTTAAGGAAAACTATGATTACAAAGTAATTAGTTGTGGTTTATGTTTGTTTTTTTGTTTTGCTTATCAGACGCCAACTTATCTTGGTTCTCCTTGGTTTGAAGGAGTTCAGCTTTGTTTGTTTATTTTTACTTATTTTTTTAATAATATTTTTATACAAAATTTTTTATAATATTTATTTTTATTATTTGTTACTCTTACAAACTAATCAGCCTCATGTTATAAATTTTCAAAAAATTTCATTTTTTTATATATTTGTGTTGGTTGATTTTTTTCTTTCTTAGTAAATAAAAATTTTAGGGACTAAGGAATGGGATGTTTAAGGATAAGGAAAAAAACTTAATTTTTTTGTTTTGTTTTTAAAGATCAACAAAATGCGGTGGGTTTTTACATACAAAATTAAGGGGGAAAATAATTTTTCCTTTTTTTGCCATGGAAAGGGAGGTTATTTTAAGGTTCAGGAGACATTTTTTATATAATTTTTAAATTATTGGTATATTTTCTACAAATACTGCTTAATTTTTTTCTGAATATGTTTTTTTACAAGTTTCTTGCGGTTTTTTTCTTTTTGCATTTCTAATATAATAATTATTAATAATAATTCTTTAGTTTCTAGTTTTGTTTTTGAAAAAACATAATATTTTCCCAAAAATATTCACCCGCTTCACTTGGCCATCCTACTAATCGGGGAAATTGTTTTCAAATATTTTTTTGTTGTTATTTTTTTTTTTTTTTTTTTTTTTCAAAGATCTCATTGTTGACACTTGTTAGGAACAGTTTGGGGTTTTTGTAATCTGTCTCTAAGATTGCATTCGAAATTTCCATCATTTCCCCGAATTCAGATACCAAATGAAACCAGGCTTTTAAAAGCACCGATTTTTCAGCTACGATTTTGTTTTTTTTTCTTCCTCTTTTAATTACTCATTAAACTACGCTACAAATATTAAATGAAAATCATCTACAAGTATAGAGACAAATTATACACTATTTATATATTTTTTCAATAATTTTACAAAACGAAAATGTTTCTTTCAGAACTCATCAGAAAGGAGAAATCCAAGCAAAACCCGAAAGTTTTTTTTCTCCAAATGGGAAAAAATATCACTGATGAAGCGCGAAATATACTAAAGAGAAAAAGTATCACTGGTGATACTTTTTTTTCTATACGGAAAAAATATCACCGATGATATATTTTTCTATACGGAAAAAATATCACCGATGATATATTTTTCTATACGGAAAAAATATCACCGATGATATATTTTTCTATACGGAAAAAATATCACCGATGATATATTTTTCTATACGGAAAAAATATCACCGATGATATATTTTTCTATACGGAAAAAATATCACCGATGATATATTTTTCTATACGGAAAAAATATCACCGATGATATATTTTTCTATACGGAAAAAATATCACCGATGATATATTTTTCTATACGGAAAAAATATCACCGATGATATATTTTTCTATACGGAAAAAATATCACCGATGATATTTTTTTCTATACGGAAAAAATATCACCGATGATATTTTTTTCTATACGGAAAAAATATCACCGATGATATTTTTTTCTTTACGGAAAAAATATCACCGATGATATTTTTTTCTATACGGAAAAAATATCACCGATGGTATTTTTTCTCTATACGGAAAAATATCACCGATGATATATTTTTTTCTGTACGGAGAAAATATATCACTGATGTGATATTTTTTCTATACGGAGAAAATATATCACTGATGTGATATTGTTTCTATACGGAGAAAATATATCACTGATGTGATATTTTTTCTATACGGAGAAAATATATCACTGATGTGATTTTTTTTTCTATACGGAGAAAATATATCACTGATGTGATTTTTTTTTCTATACGGAGAAAATACATCACTGATGTGATATTTTTTCTATACGGAGAAAATATATCACTGATGTGATATTTTTTCTATACGGAGAAAATATATCACTGATGTGATATTTTTTCTATACGGAGAAAATATATCACTGATGTGATATTTTTTCTATACGGAGAAAATACATCACTGATGTGATATTTTTTCTATACGGAGAAAAAATATCACTGGTGATATATTTTTGCTATACGGAGAAAAAATATCACTGGTGATATATTTTTGCTATACGGAGAAAATATATCACTGGTGATATATTTTTGCTATACGGAGAAAATATATCACTGGTGATATATTTTTGCTATACGGAGAAAATATATCACTGGTGATACATTTTTTCTATACGTAAAATATATCACTGATGAGATATTTTTTTTTTCTATACCGAAAAAATATCACTGATGTGATAATTTTTTCTCTATACGAAAAAAATATCACTGATGTGATAATTTTTTCTCTATACGAAAAAAATATCACTGATGTGGACCTCTTCGTGATTTTTCCCTCTGATAAGTTGAAGAAAAAAATAATTAATTAATTTAATTTTCTTTTCTTTTTGTTTTAATTACAATAATAATTTCTCTTGTTGTTGTTGTTCATACTAATAATAGTTTATGTATATTTAATTAATTAATAATTAATAAATCTAATGAAATAAGGCAACTTTTATGTAATTTGATATTTGTTGTTATAACGATATTTACAAATTGTTTTTTTTATTTATTTTATGAATATCCTTTTTATGATGCTATGTGTGTATGTATGTATGTAGTTTGTATCTTGCTATGGTGATGTTTTTTTGTTTATTAAATATTATCAAATGTTTATAATTTTTTGTTTGTTTAAATGCACTTTTTTCGCTTTCTCTTTTGCTTTATAGAAGTTATAAGACAATATCGGAGTATGGTTTATATATAAATGTTTTTTTTTTTTTGTTGTTTTTGCTTTCTCTTTTGCTTTATAGAAGTTATAAGACAATATCGGAGTATGGTTTATATATAAATGTTTTTTTTTTTTTGTTGTTTTTGATTGTTATTAATAATAGACAAGATTTGGTAGGGTTGAGAAAGGGGGTCGGCGAGGAGGGAATGTTGGGAAAAAGCGCGTTTAACACACTATTTTTTAATTATTTACAAAAGAGCTTAGACCAGGGGCTTGTTATCAATTTAATTTGAGTGGGGACAGGAGGGGGGTTTTGTTTACTTTTCTAGTCTTGTTTGGTTGTGTTTTGAAGGGCGGGTATGTTTTTCTTGCTTGTTTTTTTTTTTGTAATTGGCTGCCAATTGTTGAGATCGTCTATCAAGAATTTTTGTTTTAGCTATTCTTTGTTAAGAGTTTTCTTAATTTAGAAAATCAGAGAAATTCCAAAGCTTCTCTTCTTTCAAAAGAAGTTCTCTATTTTCTAATAATACCGATTTGTGTATTGCACTTGGTTATCTATAGAGGAATCTGTTTAGGCATTGGGTTTTTTTCTGGGGCCATGGGGTTTCGATACCGAAACCTTGTGGTTCTCCCCATTTTACGGCCATGCTGCTGCTTATCCATAATGTCTGGCTGGGACATTTCGCGTCCTTGCCGCATTTACGTACATTCTATAATCATGGGTTGACTGGATTCTATAACGGAGGGGCGATTATCTTGGGCCGGTCCCAATGAATGTCCCGAGGCTGCGGCATGGGCAGCAGCTGCTGCTGCCGCTGCAGCATGGGCCGCCGCCGCAGCTGCCACCTGGGCATGTGTGGGACCATTGCCACCATCATGTACCACACCACCGGGCATCATATGGATTTGGGGTTTAACTTTCAGCGATTGCTGCTGCTGTTGTTGTTGCTGCAGTAAATGTTGCTGATGCACCTGATGCATAGTTTGCGCTGGAGATTGTTGCTGATTGGCGGTGGTCAGTAGCATACTGGCATTGTGTGGTGGTGGTAAATGTTGATGCATCATACTGACATGTTGACTCTGCAAATGGGCCAAATGTTGTTGCTGCTGCTGCTGCGGATGCGTTAAGACACGTTGGGCATTCAAATGGTCCTGAGCGGCAGAGCCGTTCATATGTCTCAGGTGAGGATTCATGTGTTGTTGCATTTGCTCGAAGGCCTCACGGGAATCGGGTTCGGGGTGGTCATTGTCTGAAAATTGAGAAAAAAACAATAATTAATAAAAATTAAAAATAGAAGTAAAAATGTATAAAAATATAAAATATATCTATAAAAAATATAAGTTACAACTTTTGCGACACGTCATTGAACGTTCAAGTTCCGCTTTAAATGCTATGGAACCATTTTACACGTTTTAGACCTAATTATACATGTTTTAGACCGAATTATACAAGTTTTAGACCCAATTATACAAGTTTATGACAGACTGTGCATAATTCATTTGACGCCAGTTTTGAATATTTGAGAGGATTTTGACATTTACGACCGCCAATACAAGTTTACGACATGAGATATACATTTTTGACAGGTTTAAGACAATTGATACATGCTTGTCAATCAAGTATTTTATACTTAAGAAACGTTAAAGGTATGATTTACATGTTTGAGAAACATTTTACAGGTTTACGACAAATTATACATGTTTTAGACCCAATTATACAAGTTTACTACAAGCTGTATTGAATTAATTTGACGGGAGTTTCGTGAATTTCAGACGATTTTTAAGTTTACGTCAATTAATATAAGTTTACGACATGAAATATACATTTTTGACAGGTTTTAGACAATTTTTACATGCTTGTCGAGCAAGCATTTCATACTTTACAAACGTTTGAGGTTTGAGTTACGTGTTTTATAAACGCTTTACAGGTTTACGACAAATTATACATGTTTTATACCCAATTATACAAGTTTACTACAAGCTGTATTGAATTAAATTGACGCGAGTTTCGTGAATTTCAGACGATTTTTAAGTTTACGACAGTAAAAACTAGTTTACGACATGAAATATACACTTTCGACAGGTTTTTGACAATTTATACATGCTGGTCAAACATGAATTATATACTCATGATATGAATTCGATTCTCATCACATGGTATGCTAACATTTAAGATGTTTACGACAACATTTATAGGTTTTAGACACAATTATACAAGTTTAGGACAAGTTGTACATAATCCATTTTGCAGGTGTTTTTTTACTAAAAACATAAATTGCATGTTTACAACAATAAATAATTTTTTGCGATAATTTATACATGCTTTTGACACAATTTTTCAATTTCATACAAGTTTACGACAAAGTGTACAAATTGTATACGACATGAATTCCATGTATTTATTAATAAATTAATGTTTGCAACAAGTAATAATTGTTTTTTACATGTTTACGACAAATTATACAGGTTTACGACAATGTCAAAATCCATTAGATTTAAATATTAATCAACCGATACATGTTTCCAACAGTTTTTACATGTTTGCAACCAATTATACCTGATTTTGACACGTTTACGACAATTTATACAGGTTTACGACAATGTCAAAAAACCTTTAGGGCTTGTTTCCTGCAATGGATACATGTTTGCAATAGTTTATACAACCTTTTGACATGTTATACATGTTTTTGACATGCCTACGACAAATTATACAGGTTTACGACAATGTCAAAATCCACTAGATATTAATTTTCTACAATGGAAACATATTTACAGCAGTTTCAACATATTTTAGACATATTTGCAACCAATTATACCAGTTTTTGACATGTCAAAATCCATAGGATGTTTGTTTAATACAATGAATACATGTCTATAACAGTGTATGCAAGTTTTAGACATGTTTGCAACGAATTATACAAGTTTTTGACATGTTTACGACAAATTATAAACGTTTTCGACAATGTCAAAAATCATTAGATGTTTGTTTTCTTTGATGTGTGAGTGTTTTCAGCAGTTCCACTATGTTTTCAACCAATTATACAGGTTTTTGACACGTTTACGACAAATTATACAAATTTACGACATTGTCAAAATTCATAAGATGTTTGATTTCTACAATGTTTACATGTTTATAACAGTTATTGCATGCTTTTAACACGTTTGCGACATATTATACATGTTTTTGACATGTTTACGGCAAATTATACCACATTTTTTGACAAAAAGTACAATTTCCCTTTTTGACAAAAATTTTGAAAACATTTGAAAAAAAAATTCAAAAATTTGATGCTTACCCAAACATTCCGTGGTCGCCGCCGCAGCCATGGCCAATTCCTCCTCCAGATTGTTCGGCTTACAGCTGGTCGTCTTCCAATGGGTTCTCAGGCCGGAGGCACTAATGTATTTCTTATCACAACCCTGACACACATAAGGCCGATCGTTGGTGTGCAGACGTTTGTGCAGCTTCAGGTGGACAAATTGCGTGAACTTCTGGGGACACAGATCACAGGCATAGGGTTTCTGGCCACTGTGCAGCCGTAGATGGGTCTTCAGATTCGATGTCGACGAGAAACGCTTCTTACAGATGTCACACTGGTGCGGCTTTTCGCCGGTGTGGACCAGGTGGTGTTTCTGCAAATGGGCCAGTTGGGTGAAGCTCTTCGTACAAACATTGCACTTGAATGGCCGCTCGCCCGAGTGGGTGCGTAGATGTACCTTCAGATTGCTGAGCTGGCCAAAGGTTTTACAGCAGACATTGCATTCGTAGTGCATTTTACCATCTTTCTTTTTGAGGGGGTAGGGCAGGGAGCGATAACCCCGCGAGGCCAAGGAATTGGGGCTAAGGGGGCTTCCGCTGCGTGGACATGAATTTCCGTCAGGACTTAGGCAGCTGGGTGGTGAAATCCTTAGGGGCGAAAGTCTTTGCAGCGGGGTAAGGGGTTGCATGAGCGGATGATTGAGCATTTGACTGCTACCCTGTAGCATGTGGAGATTTTGCTGGGAACCGCTGGAGGAATGTGATTGCCTGTCGAAGGGCGATTGAGCACTGTGTGGTGGCGAATGGAACGTGGAGGTGGGTGCATGCAGAACACTAACCGTTTGGCCGTTCAAGCTGCTGTTGGAATATGAGGAGTATGTGGAATAGGGTGGTGTGTGCTGGCCATCATTGACATAGGCAGCGGCATGGACCCCATGGGGTGAGAAGAGCACATGATGTGCAGGGTGTCCATTGGAGAGTGGTGATGAGCAGAGTTCCTTTTTGGAATTCAAATGTAGATCGGCGTCGACCTCATGTCCGGAGTGATCCCCACCACCATTGCCAACGGCCATGTTATTCGATGAGGAGTCAGGGCTAACAGCATTGCCATAACGATGGGATTTCTTATAGGAATAGGCCATTTCAGTGGGCGATGAGGGGGGTGGTGTGGCCGAATTGGCCTGGTGACAGGCCACAGCAGCTGCTGCAGCAGCGGCCGCTGCCGCCGCCGTTTCCAAGCGATGTTGATGTTGTCCCGTCAGTATGGTTTCCAAAATGCTGGAGGGTGGTGTATAACGTATGTAACCTTGACCGCCCACTCCTGGTGGTGGTGGTGAGCTGGATTCGGCCTCATAGTAGGGTTTGATCAGCGGGACAATTGTGCGTTTTTGGCTGTTTTCCAGGACAATGACGGTACTGGAAGCTGGCTGGGTGGTGGTATTGTTGCTGCTGGTTGTTGTAGCTGGTGACTCCATTAGCCGGTTGCTGGATCTACAGGAATCGGCACTGGCATCCATTAGCTCATCAATTTGCGTGGATGAGGTGCAGGTTGGTCGCTGGGTTTCATCCTCACTAGAGGTGGCCGCCTGCAGTTCATTTGTGGTGGTCGTGGTGCTGCTGCTGGAGGTGGTGGTGGCATTTGTTGCCTCAGTCTTGATGCTATTCTTAAACTCGTATTTCAGTGGCATTTTAACTTTTAGTTGGCGGAATTCATTCTTGCCGCACTCCACTGTGGCAGCAGCCGTAGTGGCACTGACACCATTACTGGAGCTGTTAGTGGTACTGGCGGCACAGGCCTTTTGCGAGTGGGCAATCACCGTTTCTTTGGGAGCTATTGCCTTCTTGGAACAATCCAAAACATAGTTGTGCTCACTTTCACTGTCGCTGTCATCGCCGCCGGAGGGCGTTAGACGATCCTCGTGATACTCATTGCTGTGATAACCCTCATCGGAGCGCACGGAACGTACACTACCATCATTGGGTGTTAGCTGGTGTTCATAGGGTGCTTCCTTTTGGGAGAGGGGAGAACCGCCCAGCAAAGGCTCCTTGGGGTCACAGTGGTCCTGGACAATGACTGTGGCAGGTTCCTGTTTTAAATGCAACACATTTTGATGATGGGTGTGGCGGATGAGAGAACGTGCCGCCGCCGTTGTGTTCGATGATCCTTGGCTGTGTTGTATGTGCGGGTGTGTTGTGATTTGAGCTTGGTGTTGTTGTTGTTGCTGATTATTGGCTGGCGGGGAGGGACTCAGTGTGGGTGATCGTGAACGTCTGGCATTTGGTAGGCTGCCGGTTGTGCTGGCCACCGGTGGCGGCAAATGCAAACCCATAACATAGCTTATATGATTATAGGCAATCTCTGGAGGAATTTCAGGAGCAGGCATACTATACGATGGGGTACAGGAGCGTGACTTTTTGTGACAGCCGGTGGCATACTCCGCGTCAACATCTTCCTCGGCTTCTGGCTCTGGCTCATCATCGTCGGGTCCCAGCAAAGTACGTTCGGGGTCAACATCATAACCCAAACGTTTGGCAAAATCCTTGCAATACCACACCATCAACTCCTCATTGGGCATTATATCGCGGGTGGTATAGAAGTAGATGTTTTCCTGATGTTGGCAGGCCACCAAGTTCATGGTGTCCAGACTGTAGGCTGAGGCCACATAACGCATCCAATTGGCCTGGGAACGATCGGAGCCGTCCAAATAATAAAAATCATCATCTTTGAAGATCTAAAGAGAGGAAAGAGAAAAAATAGAGAAAATTTAAAATTAAAATCATCAACGGGAGAGCGAAGAGAGCTACTCATTTTTCTTGCAAAGAGAAATTATAGAGACATACAATTAAAGAGTTCAAGAGCATTGTGGCACTAAAACGTCTAACTAACTAACTGAGAGACTCTCCATATTAAATCAGGTCTGGCATTTAGGGACCGAACCCAGCCGCTTGAATTTAGGAGGTCTACGCAAAAATTATCTGACAATCATTACACAATACACGAGCATTACAATAACAACAACAACAAAAATTCAACATCAAGAGTTAGACAACAAATAGTATGAAATGAAAGTTACAGATAGAGAGAGAGAGAGAGGCAGACAGACAGAGATAGATGAGAGAGAGCATGATTATTTAAAAGAGAGAATAGCAAACAAAAAATACCTTTATATTCCCATAGGTTATATGGCGTGTTCCCTGCACCTGACCATGTTAATAATAGAGTCGAATGGGGTGATGATTGTGATGGTGATGTTGGTGGATAAAATTTTGATTTTTTGGGGGTTTTAATTTTAGGTTAGGGCGAAAACATAAAAATAAAAAAAAACACAAATTTTTTTGAGGTTAGTTTAATTTTGATTAATGACTGAGAGAGAGAGAAGAGTAAGAGAGTCCAATATAATGGTGATGATGATAAATGTTATTAGGTTTGTTAAAAATTTAGAGCGGATAAAAAGTTCTCTCTATGCGAGGTATGGACCTAAAGTATTCCCATTAACTTAAGTTTGTGTGGATATGGAGTTTTGGTTATCTGAAGTTGTGGATAAAAAAAATTTGAGTTACGATATCAACAAATTTTTATTATCCGAGGTACGCGGATAAAATATTTTGGTTATCCTAAGCCCGTGGATAAGTTGTATTTTGTTATTCGAAATACGGCTATAAGTAATTTTTGTACGTGGATAAGATATTTTTGTTATCCTACCCTATTCAAACAACGCCGATCATATTTATATTATCCAAATAATGTGAATAAAATTGTTCCTTTATCCATATCATGAGAATAACATTTTGACCTCATATGTATCAAATAGATGAAGTTTAATCTTATTCCGAAGTACCTGGATGCAATTTTTACATATCCAAACCGTTCAGATAAGATTTTAATCCAATGGATAACGATTTGAATCTATCCGAAGGATCTGAATAATATTTTTTACTTATCCAAATCACGCGGATAATATTTAGACCTTATTCGAAGAAGATGGATCACAATTTCAACATATCAAAATTACACGGATAAGTGTTACAGCTTATCCAAATAGCGTGGATAAAATTTTTAATTTGTCCATATCGTGTGGATAACATTTTGATCACATTTACCTTGATCGGATAATGTTTTGACTTTATCCAAAGATCCTGGATAACATTTTTTACCTATCCAAGTCGCGCAGATAAAATTTTGACCCTATTCGAAGGACATGGATAAAAATTTCAAGATATCTAAACAACGCGGATAAGTTTTATGTCTTATCCAGACATCGTGGATAAGAGTTTTTATTTATCCATGTCGTAAGGATAACATTTTGATCGCATACAAATTAAATGGATAAGGTTTTGACTTTATTCCAAGGCCTTGGATAATATTTTCACTTATCGAAATCGTGCGGATAAAATGTTGACCAAAGATCATGGATAGCAATTTCAAGATATCTAAACAACGCGGATAAGTTCTATGTCTTATGCAGATAGAGTGGATAACATTTTTTATTTATCCATGTAGTTTTTAGCTTATCCAAAGCGAGCGGATAATGTTGTGATTTTATCCCAAGGTCGTGGATAACATTTTTAGCTTATCCAAATTGAGCGGATAATGTTTTGGCTTTATCCGAAAGACGTGGATAACAATTTGTACATATCTATACAACGTGGATAAGATCTATGTCTTATCCAGATCACGGCTGTAACAATTTTAGCTTATCCAAATCACGCGAATAACATTTTTATGTTATCCAAATCGCAAAACTCAAAATCTTGTTATATCCGAAGCGTGTGGATAAATACTGAATCCAAAGCGATCGGATAATGTTTTGATTTTATCCGAAGGTCGTGGATAACATTTTTAGCTCATCCAAATCGAGCGAATAATGTTTTGGCTTTATCCGAAAGACGTGGATAACAATTTGAACATATCTATACAACGTGGATAAGATCTATGTCTTATCCAGATCACGGCTGTAACAATTTTAGCTTATCCAAATCACGCGAATAACATTTTTATGTTATCCAAATCGCAAAGCTCAAAATCTTGTTATATCCGAAGCGTGTGGATAACATACTGAATTTATCCAAAGCATGTGGACAATACATTGACTTTATCCGAAATACGGGGATTAAATTTAGGTCATCCAAATGCTCGGATAAAATTTTTATTTTATCCAAATGGCGCCACCTCAATTCTCGACTTATCCAAACCGTGTGGATAACATATTTCCTTTATCCGGGGAACATGGATAACATTTTTACCTTATCTGATGACAAGTGAATAACATTTTCAGCTTATCCCAACCGCGCGAATAACATTTTTATATTATCCAAATAGCAAGACTTTGATTCCTTCATTATCCGAAGCATGTGGATAACATATGGACTTTATCCGAAGTACGTGGATAACATTTTTCCTTATCCGAGGCAAGTGGATAATATTTTCAGCTTATCCAAATCAGGCGGATAAAATTTTTTAACACTCCATTGCTTCTCGCCTTATCAAAAACCTGTGGATAACATGATTTCTTTATCCGAAGTACGTGGATAACACTTTTACCTTATCCGAGGCAATTGGATGACATTAACGGCTTTGCCAAACCGCGCGGATAACTTTTTTATATTATCCAATTAGCAAGACTTTAATTCCATCATTATCCGAAGCATGTGGATAGCATATGGACTTTATCCGAAGCACGTGGATAACATTTTTACCTTATCCGAGGAAAGTGAATAACATTTTCAGCTTATCCAAATCGAGCGGATAAGATTTTCGTTTTATCCAAATTGCCTGGCATAGATTATAGCCTTATCCGAAGCATGTAAATAACACATTGACCTTATCCGAAGTATGTGGATAACATATTGACTTTATCCGAAGCATGTGGATAACATTTTCTCATTATCCGAAGCATTCGTATGACATTTTTAGATTATCCATATCGAGCGGATAATAGTTTAGCTTTATCCAAACCATGTACTTAACAATTTTAGCTTATTCAACTCGCGCGGATAACATTTTAATATTATCCAAGGTAGGAATATCTTTATCCAAAGCTTGTGGATAACATATTTTCTTTATCCGAAGCTAGTGGATAACAGTCACGTCTTATCCCAATCGTGTGGGTAATTTTTTTTGGGTATCTGAACTGAATCGAATACTTTGCGCTATACAGAAGACAGAAACAGGAATATCCCCTTTCTGTTATCCAAAATCCATGGATAACATTTTTTTATGGATAAAAATATGTTTATAAAATAAAATTATTCATTTTTAATAGTTTTGTGTTAGTAATTACCAACCTAAACCAATTTTTTCTTTGATGAGACTCTCTCTTTGATCCCTTATCGGTATTCTCTCAATGGGGTTTCTCATCTTTCAAAAGAGAGAGAGATCGAATTTTTCAAAATCCCTTTAGTTTTATTTTTATTATCATTTTCCTTTTGTTCAAGAAGAATTGCCTTAAAAGCTTCAATATTTGGTGAGTTTATGACTTCAAGAGAGCGAGAGTGTGGGAGAGCGAGAGATCATAGTGATAAAGAGTAAAAAAATATCTGAAACTTACCCTCCAAAAGTAGCGGGCCGTATTGGGATCATTGGGATAGTGTGGTGTGGGCACACCCTCAAAGGGACCAAAACGGGTGCCTCTGGGTATAACGCCGGTGCTCCAAACACCTTCAGTCTATTAAAAACAAAAAAAAAAACGAGAGAATAAAATTAAAAATGGTGCTGCAGAGATTCTTGTGGTTTCGTTTTTTACCTTTACATTGGCTGATGAAAACACCAGCGAGGGTTTGAGTGTTAAACTGCGTGGCAGGGTCTTGTCGGCCCGATTGGCCAGGCCTCGTTCACACTGAACATCGGGTACAATGTAGACGGCCAAACGTTCAAAGTCTTCTTCTCTCATGCGTGTTACATCATAATCCCGTGTGCCATCCGGCGAGGGACTGCGTGCCGGTTCTGGAGCCGTGGCCCGATTTGTGGCCCCACCAGTTGAACTACTGGCTATTTGTTCATTGTGTTTGTTGGAATTTGTGGCAGCATTGTTGTTGTTGGTGGTGTTAAGGCTGCGATTTGTTGTTGTCTCTGTTTGCATATTCATTTTGTGTATGTGGGGGGTTGTGTTTCTTGGCGGGTTATATGTAAAAAAGGGGGAGATTTGAGCGTTATCCTTTTTTTTGGAGGGGTTTTATCCAAAAAAATATGGGTTTTTGTAGCTTGCTTTGTTGTTATCAAAATTTGGGGGCCGTTTGGATAATTATTTGTGGTTTATAAATGTTTTGTTAATCTGCAAAGAAAAATAGATGGAAAATTTAATTTAAATTCCTTTGTAGAGTCTCATTTCATGTAAAACTAAAGTTCAAGGTTATCCAGCTACCTTGGCCAGTACCCTTTTGCATTTCTGCTTGTTGCTTGTTTTACAGTTTTTTTTTTGTTTCCATTGTTAAACTATTTATTCGCCTCATCCCCAGCTCTCCATACCCATCCCTGGCCGTGGCATTGGCCTGCGATTTGCGGTCTTTCGTTTTTCTTCCCACACTTGAATGCATTTGCATTTTTATAGAAATTCACTTTTACTTTAGTTCATTTGTTTGTCGTTCGTTCTCGGTCTCGGTCTTGGCCGTCGTTTGCTGTCTGATTAGCCAAACCAACCCCCTAACCCTACCCTAGCCACCCTATCCAACCAAGCCGTTCCTCTTTCCCCATTTACATTCCCCCTGTTGAGGAGGGGAATGCTGAGGGGTATAATTTTGATTTCATTGCACTTGGAAGTGTTGGTGCGTAATTTCTGTCCATGTGCTTGTGTGTGTGTGGATGATACTATAATTAATAAGACTCACTTTTAGCTTTCTTTCTTTTGTGTTTTAGGTGCGTGTGTGTGTGTGTGGGAATTTTGAGTACATTTTTTTTTTTTTTTGTTCTAGAAAAGCTTTTCCCATCCAGAAAATATTCCTTGGCCAAATAACTCACCTATTTTATAGTTAAAAAAATATTTTATTTTTTTTATATTTTCGATTTTTATAAAACGAGGTAGATTTTTCTTTAAAATTTTGTAACTTTTTATCACTTGTTTTTTGGTTTTAGGGCCATGTGGCTTCGTCTAAAATTAAATGCATTTTTCTCTTTTTTTCTTCTTCCTGACACCCTTACGCGACTGCATGCCAAACTGCACTTCGGCCATATAATTCCCCCAATTATAACTGAACCTAGACATTGTTTGCCTGTTTCATGTGTGTGCCGTTTCTGTTTCTTTTTTCGGTATTAGTGTGTAGTTGCAATAAATAAAAATATTGAAAACTTTTACTCTAACTAAAAGTTCTAGGGGCACCACTACAGGAGTAGACGCGGAAATTGAAAAATTATTCGCAATACAAAAAAAAAAAAATACAAATATAGATGCCCCCTCTCCTTCTCCACCATCCGAAAATAAGGCAGAAGTCGGCCACACTACCTACTGACCCACATCGTTGCATGTGAACTAGTGTGCGGCTGGTTAAAGAGGGTGGTTATCGTGCATGTGTGTGTACGTGAGTTTGACAGTTGATGAGTGCATTAACTCATTTGCACTCAAGTTGGGGGCACACACACATACATGCAAACGCACTCATAGACGCATGAAATGTAAATAAAAAAGATTTGAAATGCATTGCCGCCTGGTGGGTAAAGACGATACACAAATGGGCAAAAATCAGGGATGGGAGTATGGAATTTTTAAACTTTTTTTTATCACAAAATATTACATTTTATATATTTTTTCTACTTTGCCTGGTGAGTAAAGGCGACACACAAATGGGCAAAAATCAGGGATGGGAGTATGACATTTTTAAACTCGTTGATCACAAAATTTTAAATTTTCTATTTTAAAAAGCTTTCCATAAAAACAAAAGGAATCATAAAAATGAGTTCCTTTAATTTTTAAAGAAATGTTAAAAAAGTTATATTTTTTTCGAAGCATTTAAATGAATTTTCTAAACTTCCTTGGATACCATATTTATTTTATCCGAAAGGTCTGTATGACATTTTTACCTTATCCCAGCTAATGGATAACACTTATTTTTTAATAGAAGAATGTGGGTAAATTTTTTTGACCTATCCAAATTGCGTGGATAAAAATGTAGTTTATCCAAAGGACATGGATAACATTTATGCGGGTTTGGATCGGTAGTTGTAATTTTTCTTTTACCCGAAGCACCCAGATAAAATGTTTGACTCATATAAATCGCATGATTGGTATTTTTCTTTTATTCAAAGCAAGCGGATAATTTTTTGTCTTATCCAAACTGCATGGTTGGCATTTATCTTTTATCAGAACCACGCGGATAACGTTTCTGACTTTATCTGGATAAAATATTTAGTTTATCCCAAGGATATGGGTAACATTTTTACCTATTTAAATTGTGGGGAAGTATCCGAAGTACGCGGATAACAGTTTGGATTTATCCAAATCGTGTGGATAACACATTTACTTTATCCAAAGTATGCGGATAACTTTTTTAACTTTTCTAAATCGCGTGGGTAACATATTTATATTATCCGAGGAACGCGGATAACATTTTTGAGCTGTCCAATCCCGTGGATAATATGTTGGATAACATTTTTACCTTTTCTAAATCGCATGAATAACATATTTATCTTTCCCGGAGTACGCTGATAACATTTTGGACTTGTCCAAATCGCGTGGATAAAATATTTACTTTATCCAAAATACGCGGATAACATTTTTACCTTTCTAAAATCGCCTGGATAACATATTTACCATATATAATGTTCACGGAAACAATTTTTGACTTATCCAAATCGTATGGATAACATATTTTTTTATCAAAAGTAGGTGGATATAATTTTTACTTTTCTAAAATCGGGTGGATAACATTATTGACTTATCCATATCACATGAATAACGTATTTACTGCATCCAAAGTATGTGGATAACATTTTTTACTTTATCTGAAATGTGCGGATAACACACAAACTTCGTGGATAACACTTTTAGAGTCTGATGTACGTTGATATAATTTTTTATCGAATTTCTTTCGAAAACATATGTTTCTTAAAGAAAATTCAGTTTTGTATTTTTTTTCTAATTTATATGGATACACCCTGCTTGGGCGCCAAAAATAAATTATGCTAGTTTATATTTTTAACCTGAATCTTTGGCAAAATATTCAATTTTTTTAAACCATGTTTATCCTCCTTCAATGAATTTCGAAACTAGAAGCCTTTTCTGATGTAAAAAAAAGAACAAATATTTTTAAAAAGAATTGAGCTTGGGCGCCAACAGAAACCCGTTTGGAAAATAAAAGGTTTTTTTTTTAATTTAGTCCGGAGTAAGGGATCCCCCAAAATATATTTTAAAATATATTAAAAATTTAAATAATTGGACATTTCTGTTAATTTTTTAATAAAATTGTAAAAACAACACCTTCTGGTGTTCAAACTATTGCCAAATATTTTTGTTTCAAAATGTTTTATTTTTCCCGGAAGCCAAGATATTTTTTTAAAGATTCCCTTTAAAATCCTATTTGACTTAATTACTATTATCCACCTCTGACTCGCATTCTCTGTTCTCCTGTGTGTATGCGGCGAGAGAGAAACCTAGAAAATCAAATAAACGATGAGTGCAATTTTTGTGGCAGATGTTCTCTAACCCCCCACAATGTGATGCACAATTTTGCACAAATAATAAAGCTTTTATTTTTGGGCTTCCTCTTCCGTGTTGTGAAGAGAGAATGAGAGAGAGAATTTTGTAATAATTTGTGGGGAAGAGCATAAATTAACGCATTATAAATATGGAGGAATTTATAAGGATATTAATTATAAAATTAATAAAAAAACTTACATGAAAAAAATGAACACAATTTTTATTTTCTCTTAAAATATAGAATTAAATATATATATATATATTTTTTATTTTTTTATACAAAAAAAACTCTTATTTTGAACACATTAAGGATCACTTGAATGTCCTTTTGAATTAACATAAAATCCCTTGGTTTAACGAGAACGTTTTAAATAAAATCTCTTTTAGAGTCTGCATATTTATTATTTTAATTGATTTTTTTATAAAATTTTTAAATGAATCTTTTTTTTTCTTTCAACTTTCCCTTTTTTTTCGCTATTTATTCTTTATTTTTTCTTAAGGGGCCTGGTTTATTGGTCTTTCAATTAAAATCGCTTTCTTTTCTTTCACTGCAGCAATGCGCAACTAGCTTTTCATTTGCTATTGACGACGTTCTAAACGCACCGACCGTTTATACTGTTTAATAACGTAACATAACCGTCCGCTAGCCACTTGCAAAAACATTCTAAGTGCCGAAACATGCGGAAAACTGCGAAACCGCGAAAACCGTTTAACTACATAATGCAACAGCAAAAAAAAAAAAAAAAATAGAAAATGCAAAAAAAAAGCTAACGACACCACACTGTTCGTCAGTCATATCAACGCTCACTGCTGAAGCTTCTATTCTAAGTGATGGTATTGGTGTTAGTTTCGGCTAGCCAAGCGCCTCAATTGATAATGACACAGAAATCACAATAATGAAGATGGGGATGATAATGATCATCATCATCACCACCACCATCAGTGGGTGTATTGGTGTGACCAGTAGAATCAAACGACCACCGCCATTAGCTCTTGTTGTTGCACTATTCTTATTGGTGGTGTAGGTCACAATAATAACACTAAAAACAGGAAACACTATATCAATTTTGAAAAATCCTAGTAAGATAAGATAAGCATACCCTGGCGAAATATTGAGTTTTCAATCATAAATTAGTTTTTTTATTTATTGGAGGAATAAAGGAGGAGGGTTACCTGGGGGAATTGCAGTGACATTTTTTTTAAATGGCGCCATTAGCATTTTTTTGAATTTGTTTTGGTTTCTTGTTTTTATTTTTGTTATACAATGTATTAAAATATGTTTATTTTTGTAATGAAGAGAAAAAAGGAAAATTTGGGGGGTATAATGAGTCGGAAATAGGAATTTTTTATTTTTAACACTTCATACGACCTAAAATTTCTCCAGGCCACAGAAATAAAATAAAATTATAAAAATTGAATTTTAAGAGAATTTTTTCCTGAATGGGAAATTTTGAAAATATATTTGATTTTTCTTCAAAAAATATTGATTTCCATTAAAATAAAAAAATTCCTTAAAAATTTCCCTTTTGGGAAATTTCTATTTTTTGACCCCAAATGACTAAGATTTTCTCTAGAATTTAGGGGAGAAATTTTTATCTTAAATTTTTATATCAAATTCCTTCCAACTCAAAAAAAAAAAAAAATAA